TTTTGCTTGATATGTGTCCCCTTATGTATCCCCGGGAAAAGACCCTGATGTTGGGAAAGTGTGATGGCAGGAGGAGAAGGGGACAAGAGGACGAGATGGTTGGAGAGTGTCACTGAAGCAACCAATATGATTTTGACCCAACTCTAGGAGGCAGTGGAAGACAGGAGGGCCTGGCGTGCTCTGGTCCATGGGGTCACGAAGTCGGAAATGACTAAACAACAACATTGGTTGTTTTAAAAAAATACAGAGTTTAGATTCTATGATTCTATTTTAGGCTCTTTAGGTGCAATCCGCTCTGTTAAGGGAAAGACAGGATACTGTCCCCTGTTAGAAAAAGTTAGCAGCACTTTCCCCCTCCTCCCCAGGCTTCCCTCTGTGTTATTTGTAACATTTTCTCTATATCCTGGGTTGCCTTCACGGAGCTCAAGGCAGCAAACATGGATCCACTCCTGCTCACTTCTATCTTCGTAAAAACTCTGCGACCTTGGTAACACAGACGGTGCGAGACTGGCTCCAAGTCCTCCGGTGAGTGCTCCTCTCCTAAGCCAATATACTAATTGCCTGATTTCTAATTAAGATCATGTTTACATTTGCTGTTTAACCTGCAGTTTGCCTCAGTTTAAGCACAAATGAATTCAAATTAAAACCCATAACTAAAATTACAGTATGTAAAGTTCAATGAGAGTGACCACTTTTTTAAAGTACGTACAGTATTTGTGTTTGTTCAGCCAGCAGGGGCAGTCTACATCTGTTTCGCTTGGCCTGAAATCACTTTTGTATCCTTTATGCTCAGGGTGATCACCCGATCCAATGTAAAGGGATGCTCACGAAGTCGGCAGTTCTCCTAAACTGAGCACCCTAGTCTCCAGTTTCTTTTTTTGTGGGAAAAGGGTTTCAGCTCAGCACTGGATCATAGTATTAACAGGGCACATGGGAGAACTACATATAAAAGAGAGGGAGAGAATTGTGGAAATTGCCAATTAGAACCTTGTTAGCAACTTAAGGCAACTTCTTCTGTTGCCATTTCATATCAACAAAGCCCTCTGTCTTTACCAAATCCTGCACATTGTCATTTTGACAGCTGCAATGATTTCACCTGGGGAAACCTGATTTGATAAATTGCGAACCACAGGGGATCAAATACAGTGGTGCGTCGCTTAACGATTGCCTCGTTTAGCGATGAATTCGCATAATGATGTGTTTTTTTAGAAAATAATATGCACCGTATAACGATGTTTCCTATGGGCGATTTTCGCTTAGCGAAGTTTGGGCAATATTTACTAAGACAACAGGGAATATATTGATAGAAGGAAAAGAAGAGATTAGGCTGCAATCCTCTACTTACCTGGGAGTGAGCAGCACCATTGACTTCAGTGGGATTTCTTTTTGAGTGAAAACAAGTGTGTTCCAAAATCAAAATTCATGTCATATCTGCTCTAGAAAAGAGCACTAAAATATGTGCAGGTTTTCAAGAGATACAGATGGCTTCATCAGAAGAGCGGCACAAAATCAGAGCGAGAAAATGGACCTTCCACTGTGTTTCCATCTAACATGTAACTCATTCTTGAAAGTTGTGTCTGCCTCTATGGAGTTTTGAGTTCTGAGATGGAACAAAATGAGGAATGCAAAAATTCAAATGAGAGACTAGGTAGTGAGGTGAAGAGATTGGAAATTTTTCTCTGATTTTGGACTACACGGCTCAGAAATCCCAGAGGTTGTGCTTACTAATGAATTCAGCACGCTCTAGTTTAGAAAACTATTTTTCCCCTGCTGTGGCACTGATGTGATAATTTAGGTTTCATTTGGGAGTAACCCAAGGAGCAACGGAAGTAGAGAGAAAACAAACAAAGCAGATTCTCCATTTTTGGAAATACAAAGCCCAGCAATAAATTCAGAACATTCTCCATCCTGGGCAAAAACTTACCTTCTCTCTTAGTTAAGTACAGAGAAATGTCTAGTCTTTATATGACAGCTCTGGAGTTATTTTTAGTTGTTGGACTAAGTTTTTTTAGAACTCAGTTTAAGACCATTAGAGTATCTTTATTTAGTGTCTGAACCCTCAGAGAAGGACTTCCAGCTTCAGGTGCTATTACCCAGGGCTGTGTGCTAAGTCCCTTCCTCTATTCCCTGTACACACATGATTGTACCCCACTATATAACACCAACACAATTATTAAATTTGCGGATGATACGACAGTGGTGGGGCTCATAAAGAACAATGAGTCTGCTTATAGAAAGGAAGTACAA